CTGAACCCATTAAAAAGTGTCATCAGGTTCTGGAACAGAAAATGTGTCTCGTTCCCTAGATCCGTCATGTTTCCTTTGTACCTGGCACTGTAGGTCAGACCACAAGTTTGCTTCTAATTTTCTCTTCTGGGGTTGGTTGTTGCTGACTGCAGCGTCTTCTAATCATCCTACTGCCTGACACTGTGCGGTATTTTTTTTTTTTTTTGCTGAAACATCTTCTCTTCCTATCTAACTTTCCCCCTTCAGGACTTTTTGACCGATCTGGTGATGTCTGAGGTCGATCGCTGTGGGGAGCACGACGTGCTGATCTTCAGGGAGAACACACTTGCCACCAAAGCCATTGAGGAATACCTCAAGCTGGTTGGACAGAAGTATCTGCAAGATGCCCTTGGTATGGCAGTGCTGGCCCCTCCTTTCTTGCTCTGGGTGACTTTTGCAGAAGTTAGGAGCGTATCTGCACAGTGGATTCACAGACAATTTGTTTCATTCCAGCATTTGGGTCTGGTCATCAGCCACTTTCCCCTGACCTGGATAGCTCAGGGTAGCCCAATTTCATCAGATCTAGTGAAGCTTAGCAGGGTTAACCCTGGTTAGTATTTGGATGGGTGACCATTAAGGAAATCCAGGGTTGTTACACAAAGGCAGGCGATGGGAAAGCACCTCTGAATGTCTTTTGCCTTGGAAACCCTGTGGGGTTGCCATAAGTGAGCTGTGACTTGACAGCCAAAAACCAAAAAAAACATCTGCTTCCAGTGTTATATTACTGCCGTGGGAAGCTACAGTGGGCATTCTGCCAGTGCTGCTCCAGTAATGTCAGACTTCACAAGTTGCGTGGGTGGAGCCCAAAGTTAGACTTCCTACCTTAGTAGTAACTCTCCTGAGAAAGTGAAAGGTTCTGATGTTGCTGAAACAATATGGGATAGTGGTTGAATTGTTGGGGGGGGGGCTTAATCAAATCCATAAGCCTCACCCCGACTCCTGTCAATTTTAGCGCCCCCCAGTTTTATAAACCACACTCACAGCTTTGTTCTTACAGGTGTTGTGTAAACTATCCATTTAGACAGGGGTCGTTTCGTAGAAAAACTGTTCTTACAGGATGTTGTATAAACTATCCATTTAGAATACATTCTGGTTTTGGAAAAGGTTCAGAGTATTTCCATACACAAGCTCTACCTTGGCTTCTTTTACTTCCAGCCTGGCCTGATCCAACTCCCGTTCTGCTACCAGTCACTCTTCTAATGCTCTGTACATGCTTGAAACTTGGACTCCCCTTGCCAGTGGTGAAGCCACATCTCTGGCTCCTTGTCTTCCTGTCAAATGGCTGTGATATTAAGTGACATCTTTAATGTGCTTGCACCACACTGGGTCCCATTTCCCCACTTAGGTGTTAAAAGTAGGCCCTGGGTCTGGGCAGGCTGAAAACCACTATCCTAAATGGTGATTCCAAGAACAAAGCTTGAGACGTCACACATCATGGAATTACAGCCCATTAAAAGAACACAACATAGTGTTCCATGAATTTGATTAGTTCTGCTAAACAGACGGTCCATAAATGGCAGGCAATAATGCAAACCATTGAGGCTTTGGAAACAAAGCCAACATGGCATGTACCAAATTTTACTCAAGTTGTTTTTTTATTGTACCTTTTCCATCTGCTCTGTTGAACCACATGTGTTTTTTCTTGAATACTCCTTTCGAACATTAACAGGGTCTTTCTTCTAGTAGTTATTCTAGTTATGCTCCCAGTTACTTTATTTCATGCTCTTGGTATGTTTTTTTGTTACTTTAATTGCCCAATTTGAGCTTTAAAGTTCTTGGTTTAGCAGAAGTCGGTTCAGTGCAACTAAGGGTTCAATTAAGAATAATCCCAATAAGATTGAAAACTATGATTAGGTTATAGAATAAATGATTCTACCGAGTGGATGATTCTACATGTCTCATCACAGACATGTTGCCATAAAATCCACTAGTCTGGAAGAAAAAATTAATAGGCATCAGGACATGGGAGGGAGTTGCACTACTTTGCTTCTGTTTTCAGGATCCACCATTGACTGAAAATGGGAAGGGGGAGGCAGCAGCATTCCTGGTTTGCTTTCCCCTCTCACTTTGGTCAAGGCTTTGCTTAGCTCCCTTGGAAAATGCACAATGGACTAATTCAGTTCAATAAAATGGGATGGGGTCCTAAGAATAAGCTGCGGATTCTGGGAGGAATTCTTGACTGACCCCCACGCCTCAGATGTCTTAACATATAATCAGTGGCTTCAGTTGCCACTGATAACAAAGGCATTCCATTGTTTATACTTTTTAAGTTGGGAGCCATTTGGGGCCAAACACAGGAGTTAAAAAAACAAAAACAGAGAATTTGGACTTCTGATCTAAAGAATCCAAAATAAGTGTTCAAATTGTACTTGCAAGCGGTTGGCAGTGCAATTGGAATTTTCACAAAATGTGCACTTTTTGTACATATTTTGTCAAGCTGCAGCAGTAGTCTTTGAACTTAAATGGGATGGTTAGGGTGGAGAAGCAGAAGGGGGGGGAGGGGGCACAGAAATGGGAAAATAACTTGTGATATAAGATGCTAGTCAGCCTCCAGCTCCTGGAAATCTCGGTCAAGTACTCTGGCTTTTCTCTTCAGCAGAAATTGCAAAGATTGTATTCAGAAACTTGCTCAGGTTTTCAAAACACTCATTAGATTTTTTTTCTGCACACCAAATTAATTGCACAAGAGCAACAACCAGTGGGTTTAGAAGGTTATAACTCTGCTTAGGGTGGCAGGCACTACTTCTGAAGTTGACTAATGAGGTGGAAAGTATACACAGTTTCAGAAGCAGTTCTGTGCTAACAGAAACATGCCTACCTAAGGGGCAGTTGAGAAATTTCTGCTACATGCGGGTGCTTCAGAGAAAATGCCCAGCAGCTGGCCACTCTGCTCTAGGAGATGGGGCGATGGAGCTGCAGTAAATGGGATTGTACCAATGGCACCACATCAATTCCAGTGCAAACCCGGAAGCCATATCACCACATCTCCGCAATGCCAATTTTGCCCCGTTTTGCTTCCACTGCTCCCCTAAAGTGGGAGCAGCGAGGCCCTGGGTGGTAGGCCTACTCTGGTCCCAGCTGACCCCCTGCTGTTATTGACATGCTCCTAGAAGCAGCAGTAAGCAGGATATGATATGGGGAGGGGGGAGTTGACAAGGGAACTGTTGCTCAGCACCAGCCTCTCTCACAAAGGAAATGTGCAAGGGAAGGTTCTCCACTCCGTTTCCCAAATACAGCATTATATATCTGGTTGTCTTCATTATTGGCCAAGGAGATGAGATTGTTGCTTCCTTTGTAGAAGCAGATTTTGGCAAGCATTAATGGCTTGGCTTGCTTTGGTCAGCCTTGGGCCTCCAATCAATATGAGGACCAGGTAGTACCGTCATAACTGTGAAATGATTGCAGCTATCCAAGAAGACTGAAACTATAGCAACATGCTAACAGGACTTTCTTCTGATTTGACTCTGTCTTGTTGCCCAACTTAAGGTGAATTTATCAAGGCGCTGTATGAGTCAGATGAGAACTGCGAAGTGGATCCTAGCAAAAGTTCACCCAGTGAGCTGGCTGATAACCAGGCCAACCTCAAAATGTGTTGCGAGTTGGCCTTCTGCAAAATCATCAACTCCTATTGGTGAGTGTAGGGGCAGAGTATATGCCTCAAATTGTGGATTGTTTGTTGGTACTGTTTGTCTGAGGAAGGCAAAGTTGCCCTTCCCCTTTCTTTAAAAATTACAAAACGGAACATTTCCACCAGTGCCTTCATTTTGCCGGATTCCACAGGCACAACCCACCCAAATCTTCTCCTGTACAAGTGAAATAAAGTCACATCCCAGTGAATTGTGTCTGGTGGGCATCAGTACAAGCTAACTGAATTGAGATGGACTAACTTTAGAGGACAGGTGGAACTGTAGTTTGTAGCTGAACTTTTAACTGGATTTGTGAAAGGAAAAGTAGGCTGACTCCTGGTAAATTTTGTCCATTGATGAAAGAAGAAAAATGGCTTTCCTGTACCAAAATAATTGTGCAATGAAAGGTAGGTTCAGAACTTACTGTTTTGCCAAGGATCTAAGAAGCCTTAACCAATCAGATAGACAAGAAAGCCAGTTTCTGGGCTCTATAACTTCGTCACGCTGCAGTGTGACCAAGAAACAGAACCTGAGTTCTGGCTGCACAGGTGAAAGGATGGAACCATTTTCAGTTTCCCATGTAAATGAATGGGCATATGATCCCAAAGGAAGAAGGTAATGTGCTGCACTTGGGGTACACTAACAGGATGAGATTCCAAAGGATAGTCTCTAATTTTTGTCCTGAATAGCAGGATTCAGAAGGTGCCCAAACTCAAGCAAACTCAAAGAGGAAATAACAATAGTTGATGCATAGCCTGAGTTTTCTCATTGCTCCCACCCTTAGGTTTCTGTGTTCCATTTACTTTTGTTCCTTTATTCATATATTTGTTGAAGTCAGGGAAAAGACTAGCTTTTTAAAGGTCTCGTTACATCAATGTGTGTTTAGTGACATTTTTGCCGATTGAAACTAGTAACTATGCTGAATTTGGAAAGAGATTCCTCTGTTTCTTTTAGATGTATTTCCCTGTTGGATTGTAATAATCCACCCTTCAGATACAATAGCATGGATCAGCACAGCCCGATCTACTGATTCTAGGAGACAGAAATAATCTCCAAGCCAGGTGTAATTACAGGACGGCACTTTATTCTTTAGTATAACAGCACCAACTTTCCTCTCAATTAGCAGAACTGGGTTTAAAAGTATCTCCCAAGTTCTTCATGCAATCTGCAAAGGACAGGGCTAATTCAGAGCTGGTAACAGAGCTCCATCCATATAAGAACATAAGAGAAGCCAATGTTGGATCAGGCCAATGGCCCATCCAGTCCAACACTCTGTCACACAGTGGCCAGAAATACCAGGTGCCATCAGGAGGTCCACCAGTGGGGCCAGGACACTAGAAGCCCTCCCACTGTTGACCCCACCCCCCAAGCACCAGGAATACAGAGCATCACTTGCCCCAGAGTCCCTATCTATGCCTTGTGACTAATAGCCATATGATTTTCCAGCCAGCATTACCTCTGTTTCATTTGAATTCAGCTTCATGTTCTTCCTTCTTTGCTGGCTGACTGCAACATCCAAGCAGTGGCCTAGGATTGTCAGTAACAGAGGGGAAAGTGTAATGTGCATTCTCCCCTTTGTCATTGTTTGACATTCTGCGTGCACACATATGAAATAAATATCTATAAGTGGCCCAGGCAAGTAGGCCGAATATATATGATGCACAGATTGCCATATATATGTGATTCCCACAAGGAAAGATAGACAGATTGCATAAAATCAGCCTTGCAAATAAGTCTAGGAATGCTTATTCACAAATGATTTGCTTGCCTGCCTGCCTGCCTACAAGGATCTGTTAGGCATTTGTGGGTTAAGCAACTTTAGTACCTTCCTTGCCTAGTCACCTGAAGGCATCTCCTGCTTACTATGGGTGACTAGGGTAGTGCATCAAATTGATGTGTGTGGGGGGGAGAGGGGGGGTAAAAACAAAAAAGTACCTATTGAAGTACTGAATGATAGAGCTGGGAGAGCTCACGCAAGTGGCATTTCAACCCAAACCTATTTCTTCCCTTTCAGAAATTGTCACAGCAGCGCTTAGGCCTCCCCCTCCCCACGCATGCACACACGTCCTCTTTCAGAACGTCCCCCTGCCAATCTCAGTGGCAGGTTTCTCCTATGTTGTGGCTCCTAATTAGGGGTTTGCTTGGTTTGGCTTGCCCGTATTTCGTGCCCTTGTTATTAATTGATTTTGGGGGGGTGTTTTGCAGTGTCTTTCCTCGGGAGCTGAAGGAGGTGTTTGCATCGTGGAAGCAACAGTGCCTCAACAGGGGGAAGCAGGATATCAGCGAGCGCCTGATCAGTGCCTCGCTTTTCCTCCGTTTCCTCTGCCCAGCTATCATGTCTCCAAGCCTCTTTAACCTCATGCAGGAGTACCCTGATGACCGTACGTCTCGGACTCTCACCCTGATTGCAAAGGTTATCCAAAACCTGGCAAACTTTACAAGGTAAAATGTCACGAGGTCAAACAAAAGTAGTTGTGGGATATCGACGTCCTGGTTGGGAGTGGGGTATCCTTACACACATGTGCCGTGATGGAGGTAGCTAGAACACAAAGGTGACCCACTTCTCCTCCGCTGAAAATATTTTGGGATCTGTATGTGCATGCAGAATAAAATGGGACTCCAGTGGCACCTTAATCTCAACAAAATTCATTACAGCATAAGCTTTCGTGAGTCCAAGCTCCTTTTGTCTGATGCCTGTGTGCCCAGCGACACTGTGGTTAAAACTGGGTTGTACCAGGTGAAGGAGGACAAATTTCCCAGCATTAGTTCATGACCCTGCTAACATCTGTATGGGTCACTTGTCCCTCACAATGGACAGTGGGACCCAGGATGGGCCACTCAGATAAGAGCAAACGTGAATTTCACAGGCACCCATTACGTTTTATGGGGCAAAGCAGAAGGATATCACTCTGGAGTGCAGTTCAACCTCTCCCTGCCGCCACTCACTGGGTCAGGAGGCCAGTGTAGCCCCAAATTTACTGGTGTCCCTGAGTATGCCCCTCATTCTCTTGTCCCTTACAAGCAGACCCTTATTTTTTGCCATAGGAGTGATTATTGAGGTGCAGCATTTGTAGGTGTTGCATTCTCAAAGGGATGACTGCAGTATTTTGGCTTTCCCCTCTGAACTCACAGTCTGGTCTTCCTAACAGATCTTTTATAATTAGTTATGAAGGGTGATCTGTGGGGAGTAACTGACAAGCAAACTCTGTTCTGAGGACAGCGCAGTCGCCTCATCATAGCTTTAACATCCACAATGCCTGCATGGTAAAAACCGAACCAACACCAAATGGAGCAGGTGTTGCCCTGCTTGTTGCTAGCATGGTTAGACGCTGGTAGTCCCTGGAGTCAGGGAGTGCCCGCCCAGAATCCCTTGAAGCCTGTGTTGTCTGTAGAAAGACGGGTTCTGCCTAGGAAGCAACTTCGTGATGGAGTGTGATCTTTGGGGGTTTCCAAAGGATTCAAGGAAATATTTTGAGGAGCAAAGGTGTGTGGGGGGGAGATAAATATACTCTTCTAGTTTCTTCTGCAGAAGTTGCTCAGGAATATCCATTTGCCACATTTTGTGCACCCTAGCAGATAAACCAAACATTGTTTTTTAAATAATCATTTCCTTGACTTCAGTGGTGTTAAAGTGGATTAATTTCATTACCAAGCAAGTTGTCAGTTAGGCTCTTGAATTCTAGTCCTGTTTTCTGCGTTGCTGATTTTCCTTGCATGTGGTTTTTCAGTACTTATAAGGTTAATTGGCATTAGTGTGTGCCTTTTAATTTCTGACATAATAGAAAGAGTTATTTCTTTTTTCACTAAAAGATCATTAACTCACTGAAGTTTCTGTCTGGTTTGCTGGAAAAGGTTCAAACGTTCAGAACTGTATCACATCACCTTGAACTCTCTCTGAAACATACTCTCTCCAGAAAAGGGGTAAATAAAGAACGTGCCAGGCAGTCAACAGTAATCTTGGTCTTTTAATAAGCCAAAGTGTCATCCGTTTCCCATGAAAATGGTGTACCCATCTCCAAAAGCTAACTGCCCAAATTGTGACTCTTTCTTCTTTTTCTCCCCTCCCCTAAAGATTTGGAAACAAAGAAGAATATATTACATTTATGAATGAATTTCTGGAACATGAGTGGGGAGGCATGAAACGCTTCCTGGTGGAAATCTCGAATGTGGACACCATCTCCAGCACGCCAGGATTCGAAGGATACATAGACCTGGGGAGGGAGATTGCCATCTTGCATTCCCTACTGTGGGAAGTGGTGTGCCAACTAGATAAGGTAATCCAGGCTAGAGGGCAGAGGGGGGTGGCTGGATTGGTGATAGTCTCCTGGCAACGGCAAACTTTAATGTGAAATATGCAGGGAGTGTCAGCAAACTGCTTCACAGAATTTTTCTAAACTTAGCACTTTAAAAAAAAAAAGGTACTTGACTGTCAGGTCAGACTCCATTTTCTGCATGACTTCCGATCCAAGCCGCCTCTTCTGAGGTGTCCAACAGGATCAACAAGAAGGTCTGGGCAGCATGTATTAATTTCCTTCTTTCAGCCTCCGAACACACTTTAAAAAAGAAATACTCTGCAAAAAATCCTTATTGAATAACCCGAGGTGTTTTCCTTTTGGCCTCTGTTTTGGTTTTGGTTACTTTTCTTCTCTACACCATGTATTTGGAGGAAATGTATCCTTAGATGGTTCCCAACACTGTCATTAAGGCTGATCGGGGAAAGGAGGACAGGAGAGGGAGGCTGAAGGATGGGGAAGGGAATACGCAGTCTGCACTTAAGAGACTGGAAAATGTTACCAAGCTAAAAGGTACACATCAAGCAACAATGCTATTAACATGTCAGTGTGGCCGTGTTGCTTTCAGAGGCTAATTCACCTAACAGTTCCAGGTTTTTATCCGCTGTATTGCTACCCATAATTCTCTATGATTCTATCAGTCTGGCTAGATTTTTTTTCCTTGCAAGGAACTGATTGTCAGGGTTGCTTTGCGATGGAAATGGTGTTTATTATTCTTTGTTTGCAAATGTACGTTAATTTCCTGTTTGCACACTGTATAAGTAATTCTGTGCAAGAACATAACTTTGCATATTTTGTTTGGTTTGGTTTGATTGTGATCTCCCAGTCCTTTTCACATACACATACCCACAAACGAAACTCTGGTCAAAGTTTAGTTAGAAGGGTTGGCTGCGCCCCTAAGGACAGTCAAATGACTGCAGGCCTTGATGTACCCTAGTCCCCCTTCACGAGGTTGAGAATGAAAAAGCAGCCTGCCAGAGAGCTGCACTGAAAATTAAAATGGCCCATAACTTAAACTTAGGTAGGATATCATGATGTGTGCTTCCTTCCCTAAGGAGTGATGATGAATATAGGCTGATGGGAAGAGCGTGTTTTGTGGTTTCATTGCAAGCAAAGAAACAAGGCTGTATAGCTGGGAATTGCTTGAGGTTGAAGGAAGTACTGAAGTGCCTCTCTTTGTCATTTTAGATTCTTTTTAAAGGGCAGGAGTAGCTTTTAGTTGTGGTGACCTGAACAGTTCTTCCTTTGATCTAGGGGGGTTGATTATGGTAAGCGTTTGGCAAAGTCTTATTCTGGAAAGAATTGATACTAAGCAAAGATAGAAGAAAAGCCCCACAGTGTCCTGGGTCAGTATCATCTAGGAGATGGTCTTTCCGTTGTAACTGGTCTTCCCCCTGCCTCTCTGTAGCCAGAAATTCCAGCAATAATGGTTTCAAAGGCTGTACGTAGAGCAAATCAAAGATAGCTGAAAGAGCTGAAAACGCTGACACCCTGGAGCCAATCTGGGGATTTGTTTTAGCCATGCTCTGTGTTAGGGCTGCATAAATGGTGGGGATGCAGAAAGCCTTGCCAGCCCCTGAAGCTGCATCTAAAAGAGACGTGACCTAAAGCCTTTTACATCAAGGATCTGACCACCCAACACAGCTCTGCTTGTTCCTCAAGCGCAGCAAAGTGGCTGCAGTGGGTGTTGTACAGGTCCCAGTAGTCTCTGAAGCCTTGCCTTTTCCCAAGCCCCTGGTCTAACTTTTGTAAATGATAAAGGTCTGGTGTCCCATACAGGGTGGGGAAGGAGGAAGAAAATTAATTGGACACAATCAAGTTTCTAATCAGAATCAGGCAGGTTTTTTCGTTATCACATTGGTAATAAGGGAAATATTGAAGTTGTAAAAGAGTTATCTAATCAGCAAAAGCTGGTTGGAATAGCCACATATAAATGCGCACACGCACGCATCAGAGCACGTTCTGTGCTTTCTTTCAGTTCCCTCACAGATCCCATGAATGCCAATCTCCCTGTGTGTCAGCATGCATTTCCCTGACTACAGTTCTGTTTTGTTGGGGGTGGGGGAAGAGGAGTTTCCTCGAAGGCAGATGACTATGTATGTAATGTAGTTCTCTGAATTTTAAAAAATTAGCTAGTTATTATAGTCTTTCTGTTGTCGTCCCCCCCGATCCTACCACCCCACCCTTGAATGCAGTTTGCTTTGCATGACAGTTTTGCATTGGAATGGCCTGAGTTTGTTTGGGGTTTTGTTTTTTGTTTTTTGTTCTGTTATTTTTGTTGTTGAGCATGACCTTTTTATTTTGGGGGGTCACTTTTTAATTTCTATTTCCTTTTCTTTCCTCGATGTCTGCTGCACCCTGTTTCGTCTTCTCCATCCGCCCGGTCGTCGTGGTTCTGCTGCTCCGTCACAATGCATTGTGATCCTGCCACACCCCCACACACAAACGCCCCACCACCTTCTTTTCCTCCCAACCTCCACTTGTTCCACCCACGTTCATCATTGGTTTTGTTTTTGTTTTTTAAAAAAACTTTCATAATCAAACCCCCAAAACAACCTGAAATGGTGGCTGGCACGGTGCTTATTGTCGAATCAGGGTGAAAATTCCTTCCTACAGGCGACGGTTGAAAAACTTGGGCCTCTACCACGGATCCTTTCAGACATCGCAAAAGCTGTATCAAACCCCATTCCAATACAGCAGCAGCTGAGGCGGTTGACAGAGCATAGTTCAAGCCCAAATGTGAGCCTGTCTTCAGGACTTCAGAAAATATTCGAGGACCCCACTGACAGGTATGTAATGCTGGTTGTGGCTACGCAGTACAAGGGAGAAGAGCCATGCACACCAGAACGGAAGGCTGCTACAGCTGACTGGGTTGAGTGTCCTGTACGAGACCTTGGCTCTGCTTAAAACAATTGCTTTAGAAATGAAGGTTGCAGGGGTTGAGAGGCCAGTGACTCCACTGTGGCCTTCCCGGTGGTTTGCAGCCCTGGAGGGGGTTAGCTAGGTAGCAGTAGGCATCAGAGGCCATGGTGGCATAACCCAACCAAAATCCAGTTATCGGTCCCATTGTTTTCTTGGAAAAGATACCTTTTAAGTGCTTCTTACAATATACCTTGTAAGTACGGGGGGGTCTGTAGTGGGTGCAGGGGGGTGACTTAGAATTGGGGAGCCGACTCCCAGCCCTTGACATTGGCACCTACCGTCAGGAGTCTGGGGGTGATCCTGGACCCTACTTTATTTATGGAGGCACAGATCAACAGTATTGTCTGGTGGGCATTTTACCAACTGCACCAAGTCAGACAACTGGCCCCCTATCTGTCTCACCTGGACCTTGTCACAGTAATCCATGCAATGGTCACCTCCAGGCTGGATCACTGTAACTCGCTTTACGTACGGCTGCCCTTGAGACTGACCCGGTAGTTCCAACTGCTACAAAATGCAGGAGCGCAGGTCCTTACAGGGGACCCCACGGAGGGCACACATACATCCACTGCTGCGCGAACTGCATTGGTTGCCGATGGAGCACCGGATCAGATTCAAGGTTTTGGTGCTTACCTTTAAAGCCCTTAACAGTCAGGGACCTACATACCTTCGGGACTGCCTCTCTTGGTATGTCCCCCGAAAGGCATTAAGATCAGCAGACAAGACCCTTCTGGTGGCCCCCATTCAAAAAAATATCCGGTTGGCCTCAACTAGGGCCGGGGCCTTCTCCACCCTGGCCCCAGCCTGGTGGAGCTCTCTGCCAACTGACATCTGTGCCCTGTTAAAGTTTCACAAGGCACATAAGGCAGAGATGTTCCGCCAGTCCTTTGGTTGAGGCCGGCAACGTTTCTTTACATCTGCCCGGTGCCCTCCCCCTATGACTGAATGCTAGCTCTGCCATCTTGTTTTTAAATATTGTTTAAGTGTCTTTATGGTGTTGTTGTGTTTTAACTTATATTGTATTGAATCAATGTGTTGTGAACCGCCCTGAGCCCCATGCAAGTTTCACTGTCCCTTCCTACTCCCTGGAAATCAATGAAACTTAATAACTTTTAGCTTTGGCTGGATTGTACCCAAGGAATTGGAAAAATGCAGTTCATTTGACTGCATCTTAGAACAAATGGAGATGATTAACTGCAGTGTTATAAGGAAGGAGTCCTTTTCCCAGCCTTTAAAAATCAATACCTTTTTCCTTTCCACTCCTCAGTGAAAGCAAAGTGTTATCAACCCAGGAGAGCGAATATTCTTTGAAAGGCCAGATGCTTTGGATACAGCATTCAGCATCAAGGAGTGCAGCGTCATCTGATCAAGGGGATGATCCGGTCATGCCGAATGCCAGAAGCATATCCCTGATGGATCTGCAAGATCCCATTACCCCACAGAGCTTTCCTGCATGCATGATCCATGACAGCGTGCTCAGTTCATCCGGGAGTCACCTGTCAGTCGGGGAGGCGGTGGGCATGAAAGTCTTCTATGGCATGCCCCAGAGTGCCCCCCAGAGTCGAAGGCCTCTGAAATCTCCAGTGAGTCAGCCAGGCAATCTCCAGCCCCTCTCATTCCAAAACCCTGTGTATCACCTTAGCAATCCTTCAGTGCCCCTTCCCACTGTCCCCCAGCCAGTGCCCCAGCCCACTCCTCCCCAGCCAATGTCGACCCCCACTGCCTCCCAACCAAAGTCTACAATGTCAGTGGATTCAAGCCTGGAAAACATCAGTATGACCAGCTCCCGAAGCCAACACAGCGATGATTTAAAAATGAGCAGCCCAGGCAACGGCAGTATGGAGGACATCACCAGGAGGAGCGTGAAAAGTGAAGATTTTTCGTGGCGGGGAGCCCTTGCTGAAAAGCGCATCCCCATAGCTTTGCCGCGACAGAGCAGTACTGGACAAATGCCAGCCCGCAAAATGGAGCAAGCGGGGCCAGGCGCGAGGGCAAAGGCTCTCCCCCACAGCACGTCCGTCAGAAGTACAGGAAGCGTTTCTGCAGCATCCGCCGCAATGACCACAGAGCCTCTCCAAAATGGGAATCGGTCGCAGCAGCTATCATCCTCTTCCCGAGAGAGTCCGGTTCCCAAAGTGCGGGCTATCCAGCGGCAGCAGACGCAGCAGGTAGGACCATCACTGTGTGTGTACCTTGACATTTAAGGCCAGATTTCCTTTTGTTTTTCCTTTTTTAAAATAATTATTTTTATTATAGTAATAATAATTTCTTTTTATTATAAGTTTTTGATATTATTTACAAATGTATATATTACATATTTTAATATAATTCGAGTCTGTCATTTTCTTTTCTCATTCAACCGTATATATGCCCTCGGCCATCTCTTCAAATATACTTCGTCATCTTTATCTTGCATTCATATATTCACCTTATCCGTTTCTGCTAAGTTTAACGATTTGTTAACCAATTCTTCCTCACTTGGAATCTTATCCTGTTTCCAATGGATGTGAGTAGCCCTGGTATTTATTGGTTCATTTATTGATTGATTCAGTTTATACCCCGCCCTCCCCATGGGGTACCCTAAGGGGGATGTTTATACCCCGCCCTACCCATGGGTTACCCTAAGAGGGAAGGTTAGCAGGAGTCTTTGGCACTTCTGGACAGGAAGAAGATGGCCTATAGGCCTGGCTTGCTGTTCTCCCTAATTCCACTGTGCTGTTTGATCCCTGAATCTCTACACTGGAGGCAGCCCCCAAAAGCCCTTATAAACTGAGGATTTGAAAAGATAAGAATAAATAAAGGCTGAAGGACTCTGATCTGTGCCTGAAAAAATGTTGAAATAACTTGGGGATGCTCTGGGAATTTCTTTAAACAGTTAAAGGGATGGTTAAACGATAATTAATCTAGCATAACCGACTAAGTTCATTGTATTATTAGTAGCTTTTTGAAAATACCATGGTGTTAAACTGATGTATGATCTCCTACTCTTGGGTTTTTATTTAGTTGAGGGTCTTTTTTCTTTATTCCCTAGATGTAGTTCCCTTTCCTATATTTTCTGTTGTAGTTTTGTAGTCTGAAGGGAAAAAAAACAATAAAAACCTCCCCCTAGGGGGATGAAAAAAAAATTCTCTACACTGGAGGCCAAAGTACTCCTAAGTATTGTGGGGGGGGGAGGCAGGGGTCCTCCAAGTGTTAGACTGGTGGTTTAAAGTGCCATCAAGTCACAGCTGACCTATGGCAACCCTATAGGATTTTCAAGGCAAGAGACACTCAGAGGTGTTTTGTCATTGCCTGCCTCCGTGTCACGCCCCTGGTAGTCCTTGAAGGTCTCCCATCCAAGTACTAGACAGGGCCGACCCTGCTTAGCTTCCAAGATCTGATGAGATCAGGCTAGCCTGGGCTAGATTAGTCCTTATCCTATTCTTTGGGTTAAAGTGCCATCAAGTCACAGCTGACCTATGGCAACCCTATAGGATTTTCAAGGCAAGAGACACTCAGAGGTGTTTTGTCATTGCCTGCCTCCGTGTCACGCCCCTGGTAGTCCTTGAAGGTCTCCCATCCAAGTACTAGACAGGGCCGACCCTGCTTAGCTTCCAAGATCTGATGAGATCAGGCTAGCCTGGGCTAGATTAGTCTTAGCCTATTCTTTGGGCTTGATTTGTGATGTAATTGCTTAAGAAATGGCTGTCACTGCCATAGGAACAGCAGGTGTAGTTTGAAATTTGCACCTGAAGCCACGATCACCACATTGCCTTGCACAGTCTTTAATCAGATGTGTACTAATCTCTCATCTTTTTTAAAAAAGGGCTATATACGAGAAAATGTAACAGGCATTACGGGGCGGGGGGGATCTGCTATGCTTTTAAAAGCCAAATAAAGCCAGCAATCACCCGTCAGTCAGAAATACCTCTCAAAACTACTCCTTTTGCAGCAAAACACATTTGGGAAGGAAGCTCCACTGTAGCACAGTGACTGCACTTATAGTCTGAGCCAGGAAGTCTCCTGTCCAAATTGCTTCTCTGCCATGAGCACAGCAGATAGCCTGAAATGAGTACCTCTCTCTGGGTCCAACATCTGCAGTATAGGGGTGGATAATGAGGACTTCGTTTACAGGGTTGTTGTTGTAATGGTTCCTGGCGACTATTCGTGTAAAACGATTGACTGCTTTAAGAGCTCAATAAATGCTAAGGATTGTCATGAATGGAGTCAGCCATACATGATTTCAGGCATTCTTGCGAATGCTAAAATAATTTATTCCAAACATTTGAGAATGCTTGTATACACTGCCCATTTACCATGCAGGGCTTTTGTCTCGTTTATTGTTAAGGTTGATTTTGTCTAGGGAGCTGGACATTTTAACTGGTAGAGAAGAGAGATCTGTAGACCAGCATAATATGGATTTACCCTTTAGAAGTCCAGCAACTGCTCTTCTGATGAGCCCTTCCCCCCATCCCTAGGCACAGTTACGTGTGTTATGTTTACAGTTTTTGCCAGTATAAAGGCCCGCCTTATCAGAATGTCCTCCTGAGAGGTGTTTTTCCCCCCCTCCTTAGGGGTATGTTACTGGAAATGGCTGCAAAACAAACAAGCACTCACTCAAAGACAGTAGAGAAAGGATAGAAATACATAACCAAGGGGTTTTTTGGGGGGACAGGTCGTTCCTGTTATCAGCATGGGGGTGCCAACTCCAGGCTGGGGAATTCCTGGTGATTTAGGGGTGGACCCTGGGGAGGGCAACATTTGGGGAGGAGAGGGAGCTCAGCAAGGACGTGAGGCCATAGAGCCATACCTCCAAAGCTGTCATTTTCTCCAGGTGGCTTCAGGACAGAGTTAGCCACGTCGATCTGCAGTCGAAACGCTAGGTTCAAGTCCAGCTTAGAGACCAACAGGTTTTTCAGGGTGTAAGTTTTTGAGAGTCAGAGGAGCTCCCTTTCCCAGATACGGAAAAGGAGCTTTGACCCTCAAAAGCTTATCCCCTGAAAAGCTTGTTGGTCTCTAAGTGCTACTGGACTTCAGGAGAACTTAACTCCTGTAGTCTGGAGATCAGTGGTAATTCTGGGAGATCTCCCGCATGGCTGTATTTTTGCAATTTCCCAGTCGGTAATCAATTTCTTTGGGGGTAGCTGCGTTAATCTGTTGCAGCGAAAACAAAACAAGGAGTTTTATGTCATCCTAAAAACTTAACAGTTTTATTGTGGCATAAGCTTTTGTGGACTAAGTCCCCACTAGCTATGAAAGTTTGTGTTTAAGTTGCTGTAAGACTCTTTTCTTTTTCTTTCTTTTTTGCTTTCTTCTTGAGCTTTGTGCTGAGTGTGTGATGGCTTGCCTCAAAATGGTGGTGGTGGACCAGGAAGTGTTCTGGGTGCTGCTTTCTGTCCCCTCCTTTTTGCGGCGTCCCTAAAGCGGCAATCAGTACAATTGGCCTGGCTGTGCAGCACCCGCAGATAACTTACAAATTGCTTGCTCAGATTTCCATTTTCGTTTTTTAACTCAACGGATTCTCTAACATAGCTTTTCTACTTCCAGCTGTGTTGCATCTTTTGGTCCATTTGTAGCTTGTTGCAGGCCCTGTAAAAGCTATCAGGCATCTGTGATCCCGTGGTCTTTGAGGGAAGAGGGCATTTCAGCAAATGCCACTGCATATTTTAAATTGCAAATTACTCTGTGGAATGTCCCCCAAAAAATATGGCCATTTTTTTTTCTTCCGGAATTGGTCTGTGGGTGTGGATGGTTGTGAAATTCCCAGTTCCTTATTAATTGGTATTTGTTTGTGAGAACAGAGAAGAGCCCTCTGCTGGGTTTCAAGAGGTCAACTTGCGCTCTGCGTATCTATTTTGTGCGTAGGCGAGGAATAAATCAAAACTGCAGCAGTAGCCATACCTTTATGAGAGGCAACCTAGAACACGCAGATAGTGAACTAGCTTTCGAGTTTCACACAACTCTCCACTAGCTGTCCTTTTTAGAAAGAGGGAGAGAGAAGACAGGGGAAAGAGGAAGAGGAAAAGGTTTTAAAAAGTTGGTGGTAAAGAGTATGGTCGAAGCCGCCATCTGCAAGGCACAGTAGTCCCACAGATTATTCTGAATCTCTTTGCAGAGTAACTTAGTTTGTGCCCAGTACAAAAAAATTCGGTTGCACCGAAGCATACTGATAATAAAAAGAGCAATGGCTGATTTCCCCCTGAAAACAGCAGATATTAGTCTCTCTCTCTAGCATTTGTCAGACGTTACAGCTCCCTCATAAGTCAGAGACCAGAAGTAAAGGAAAACATGGTGGTCCCTGTGTTAGCGAAACTAGAGATTCATTTACAGGAAGAGGAACAAAAATTGTCAGTGGCCTTTCTCCCCCATCCTGTTTTTGTTTTGTTTTTTACCTGCGTTACTTGCTTCAACACTTAGCATGCATTTAATAGCTATGCAGAAAGGGCTGTGTACAGTTTGTAGGCCTAAAATGAGTTAACAGTGCCAGTCAAAGCAAGACTTACACCCTTCAAAGTCCCTGGAAAATCCATGGGTTTAGGAGGGTATAACCGTAGTTTGAATTGCCCTCTAAGTTAATTAAGTGATTAAGGGCCAGACTGCATGAGATGCTTGACCTCCATGACTGGAACACTAGACAGGTCACTTTGGCCCTAGTAAGCAGCTGCGGGTGGGGCTAACCTGGATCCGGGGTCATAGCACCAATCAGAAATGCCCCTGCCTCTGGGCTGCTGCTGCTGCTACGAGGCCTGATAAAGAAAAAAGGCAGGTGCCAGTATTGTAGCTATCTTTTTTCCCTCCTACTGGAGGGCGTTGGCATTTTCAACTGGGAAAAGCATGAGGGAGAGAGCTAACCCCCCTCCTTACCC